GAACCCGCCACCTTAGGTGTATGTGGCTGGTGCCTTAGCCACTTGAGCCACAGGCGCCGAGCCAAAACTGTGCCTTCTTAATGATCTCACTCACTATTCCAGGAACTCAGTTTTGCCATTATCCCAGCTCTACCTGCCTCATGAGGAACCCTGGGCTCCCAGCCATGGGTAAACTTCACAGCAAACGAAGCAGACAGCAAAGACATAAGGAAGCCAGAGGGCTGGAACTCGCGCCTCTCATCCTGGGGCTTAAGCTTGCCCTTAACTGGGCCAGAAGCTCTTCCCCGCCCCCAGCCACTCACCGTACACCCAGCTGATGCAGATCACTTCAAACACCGAGAGGAACAGCAGGCACATGCCACTGGACGCGTAGTAGTCAAACAGCTGGAAGATGTACATCCCGCCCTGCGGGAGGGCATGGAGTTGAGGCCCTGAGCAATGGGGACAGGACATGCCCTGCCCCTCAGCAAGACACAAAACACTCATCTGGGGCACCACCCTGTCCAGCCCATGGGCAATGGTTCCTTGCATCCACAAGGAATTTGTCCTGCCAATCCTGGCCTTCAGGCCCTGAATCAACGTTAGGGCAATAATCCTGACATCTGCAAGGACACAGGGGGGCGCTGTGGTAGATGCATTGTTTTGTCTGATGAGCATCCCTTCTGGAAATTGATACCTCCTCACTCTGTGTGCCTTTCAAGTCGGGGTGTCCCTCTTTCTCTGTTCCCAGGCATGAGTAAGAGTCATGGCCTGGACACTTGCTGTGCTCTCAGGAAAAGGGCCCTCTCGTGGGCCCCACAACCTCACTATGCGGGAGGCAAGGCAAGTGTCCGCACCCCCTGTTAGCAGAGAAGGAAAGTGTTGCTCTGGGAAGGTCAGCAGTGTCTCCCCATGGCTCCCTCATCCTGGAACCTGGCCTGCAGCCCGGTCACCCCAGCTCACCTCAGTGACCAGGAAGAGCCCCAACAGGTAGCAGGTGACCGCAATGGAAAGGATGAGGAGCTCGCGCCGCCCACGCTTGCGCAGCTGCTGGGGGAACATGTCCATGGAGGCTGTCACCAGGCACTCCACACAGACAAACTGTGGACAAGAGAGAGGTCACAGGAGAGGGTGTGGGGCAGGCTGCCAGCACCTGCCCTGCCCTCCTCTCTCCCTACTCATCCACACTGGGCACAGGGGTGCACAGAGGGCAGCAACGGGAGTCCTGGTGGCAGGCAGCCACACCCTTGGCCACAACTCCACAACAGGGAGTCCAAGCAGTGAGGCTCAGAAATGGGGAGATGTGCTGTCCCTAAGGCCAGAGTCTGGGGTCAAGGGCTAAAAGAAGGCTAGGGGAATATTTGAGAGAAGGCACAAGCCTAGGGAAAGAGCAGGTGGCCTCTTCATAGATGAGGGTCCCGAGGCCTGCGTCACCCCAACAATCCCAAGAAAAAGCCCTGGACACAGAGTGAGCCTCAGACTGATGGTCAGGGAAAGGGAGTAGGAGGGAGGTAATGCAGGAAAGACAGCAGCTGGCAAGAAGGGCCCCAGGCAAAGCAGGACAGAGCAGGCTGGGGTGACATACCTGGCTATCTAGCCCTAGGAATATCAGCATGATGAAGAAAAGGCATGACCACAGGGGGGACAGAGGCATCAGGGTAACAGCCTTAGGGAATGCGATGAAGGCCAGACCAGGACCTGCCAAGCACACAGCACAACCAGGTGGGTTCTGGAGCTCTTGCTGTGCTCCATGCCTCTAAGCACTATGTGTGTGTATGCATGCACACACACACTTCAAGAGGGCAAGTGATTACACCCATTATCCTACTCATCCCAGGTTCTGGGGAGCACACCATCCACCCATCCATCTATCCATCCACCATCAACCCTCCTACCCACCCACCGATCCATGCAACCATCTATCTACTCATCTATCCACCTGTCCATCCATGTCCCATTTACCCACCCATCCACCCATCCATTCACCCACACATCCATCCATGTAGCTGTTGATCCATTCACCCCCTCACTCCCTCTCCCTCTCCCTTCCCACAGTTATGGAAGCCCTGCTCTATGCCAAGCTCTGCCCTAGATGCTAAACTTAAATCATATTATCCATAAATATATATATTACTCAGCTTCTAGGACTTTCTGTGTTCTGATTCTCCTTCCCCTTGGGTCCCAGACAGCAAGGTGGCACCTACCTGACTCAGCCACCTCAGAAATGGGCAGCCCCTGCTCATGGGACATGAAGCCCAGGATGGAGAACACGACAAAGCCAGCCATGAAGCTGGTGGCACAGTTCAGGAAGCAGAGGGCGATGCAGTCCCTGGGGGTGGGGAGGAGGCAGATAAACCAGGAAGAGAGGAAGAGACAAATCAACCAGAGGAAGAGCGATCCGAAGACAGGAAGAGGGAAAAGAGGCAGTGGGGGGAGGTAAAGGGAGAGAGAAGGGGGCAATGGAAGGAAAAAGGAGAAAAAGACAAAGCCAGTGTCAGAGGTGGGAGAGTACCAGTGGGAGAGAAAAGGGGGAGAAAGAAATTCAATCTGGGGAATGAACCGCATGTCAGTTTGACACACAACTTGTAAGCCTTGTTACCGAAAAGGAAGGCCTGGGCCCTCCTTGGCCACCCCACCCTGGCTCGCCAGTCCTCACCTGTAGCAGTTGTTGTGGTACTTGTTATAGCTTCCCAGGGCTGTCAGGCATCCCTGGCAGATGGCGAAGGAGAAGAAGATCTGGGTGCCTGCATCCATCCACACCTATGTGAGACCCCCAAGAAAGTGGTAGAGGAAGGGCAGGAGGGAGCCCCCAGGGCCTGGAGCCAGGATGACCAGAGACCCAGACCCATCACCTACAGCACCGGCCTGGCGCCCTCAGTGCTCCCTGAGTGCTTCGCTCCTGCATCCCAACTCTCCATTCACGCGTCCTCCCTTCTCTCCATAGTGACCTTCTCACAGGCAGGGCCCATTTCCAGTTTGATTCTGCAGGCACTTAGTAAGCACCAAATACATGTTTGTTACTTGGATTCCCAAAGAGCGTCTGTAAACTGTGGCTGCAGGACACAGCTGAGGGTCCCTAGTCTATAGCTATACCTAGAGCTATGTATCTATCTAGGGAGATAGACAGTGCCTCGGGCAGCTGTGACCTGGGACAAAGAGGCCACTTCATTTATGTTTATAGAAGAGGCCACTTCATTTCTATTTTATAAAGAAAAAACTACCAAGACCTTTTTCTTGGAAGAGGCAAAAAAGGCGCTGAGATTAGTTTTAGAGGACCAGATATGAGCACAAATGCCCAATAAATATGTGGGGAAATGTCCAGTCTCGCCCATAGTAAAAATAAACCAAAAAAATAAAGCAGCAAAATGATTATTATTTGGGTCTACCAAAATATCAAAGATTAAAATAAATTATAATCAAATTTCACCAAGGTCCTACAGAAAGAGGGAAAAGAGGTAGTTTATTCTCAAACATTAGAAGAGAAAGTCTACTCTCTTATGCCAGTATATTTAAAACCATGCATTATTTAAATATCCAAGAACAGGGGGTGAGCTCTGGCCCCATCCCTGGCACTGAAATAGTACCTGACACTAACTGGGTCCTCAACACATTTCTATTGGATGGATGAATGAATAAATGAATGAATGAATGATGGATGGATGGATAGCGGAAATACTATGCAAGTGTGAAAAATGGCTCTTACAAATGAATAACATGGAAAAAATTTACTATATAATTTAACTTAGAAAAGGATGTATGTCTCTCTAAATGAAATTATCTCAACTATGTTAACACACATACACTCACCCACACACATACACATATACACCAGCTAGGGGGAAAAAAGTTGGAAGGAAATGTACTAAAACACTAACAGAGATTATATCTGAGTTGTGGGGTTTTCATTCCTTTTTCATAGTTTTCTTCCACGTTATCTAATTTTTCTCCAGGGGGCAACCATTGCTTTTAAACCAAGAGAAAAGCAATAAAAGACTTGCAAAAGTACAGGCCTGGCTTGGAGTGGGAACATCTGGAGAAAAGTCCCTAGTCCAGCACTGTACCTGGGGGTCCTTGAGACGAAACAAATCTGGCTTCAAGTAATAGACGATACCCTCATATGCTCCAGGAAGGGTGACACCTCGGATCAGTAGGATGACCAGCATCAGGTAAGGAAATGTGGCTGTGAAATAAACCACCTGGCGAGGAGGCAGCCCAAAGTCAGTCCACAGCAGGAGGAACAGGGAGCCTCCAGGGGTCTTCCTAAACCCCCCATCCCTACTGCTCCAGCAGAAGAAGCAGTGAGTCTCCAAGGAGGTCTTCCTGACCCCCTAACCCCCAGCAGGAAGAGCAGGGAGCCTCCAGGGGTCCTTCTAACACCCCCATCCCCACCCCCCAGCAGGAGGAGCAGAGAATCCGGAGGGGGTGTCCTCCTACACCCTCTCCCCCAGCACCAGTCTCACTCAGGGTGTATGACACACATCTCAGAGACAGCTGAGAGGGGCTGAGCACAGGAAACATTCCACACCTTCCTTCACGCATTCCAGCAGGTCCAGGCTCCCCAGTGTGAGATACACATCAGCAGGACCAGGGGAAGGAAGTGGAGGAGGGACAGAAAGGGCACAGGTTTCCAGCCCATAACCTTTCAAAGTCTATTTTTTTCCTTTCATCTTCAGTTAACATGCAACAATTACACATATTTCTGGGATACAGAGTGATATTTCAATACTTGCACATAATGTATAGAAATCCAGAATCTGTCTCCCTTAATCCCTTATCCTGGTCATCATTCTTCCCATGCCCTGTGGTGACCAGGGAGAAGGTGACCAGATTTGTACACTGATCTGGAGGGAAATTTAGACTGTACTTTTCCAGGCGTATGGCTGGGGGAGCAGCGGTTGCCAGAGCTCTGCCTCTGACCTGAGCTGGCAGCACCATCTGTGCTATACTTACCCCTACCACCACGTGTGTTATTACTGCACTGCTATTACTCTAGCAATTCAGGGAAGGGGGAGGCTGCCGTAGGAACTGACCAAGCACATAGCCAATCAGAGAAGTCAATACCCTGTCCATTCCTGGCTTTTAAAGAGCATGAAGCACTAGTATCCAGTTCTCTGGGTTGAAAATGATGCTCAAGCCTGCATCCTGTCTATGTAACAAGCCCACTGCTGTCCTGTCTTGGCTTGCACACCTTCAAGGATTAGAAACTCACCACCCCACAGACAGTTCCATTTGCTAGTTCATACTAAAAATAGTCTTCACATGTTGTTAAATAAAAGAAGCAGGCCACAAGCATGCATGATCCTAATTACACATATGTATTACACACACAAAATGGATACGAATACACATACATATAAAAAGAAACTTATGGGCAAGATAACAAAGGTCAACAGGGATTAGCAGCAGTTCCAACCCACCATCGTGCTGATGGCTTGGACAGTGATTAGCTCCAACAGTGGGACTTTTATGTTTCTTATTTTGCTCTGAATATGACTTAGGTAAAAAGGTCTTTTAAAGTCATATTGAAAAAGAAAGACTTTCCTTGTACTAAGCTAAACTCTGCCATCCTCTGATTTCCCTGTTCTCGTCATGTACCTCCCCTAAACTACTAAGAAAGAGTAGTTTCTTAGTAGTGGAAAGAAATGAGCTCTCCAGACAGTTCCCCTCCTGTGTCCTGTGAACTCTGGGGGCCACAGAGAGCTTAGCAGGAACAGGACACCTCACCTTGCCTGTGGACTTGATCCCCTTCCAGATGCAGAAGTAGCAGATGACCCAGGCAAGCAGGAGGCACAGTGCCAACTCCCAGCGCAGGGCCCCCAGTTCATGAATGCCAGAGGTGATGCCCAGAACCCGTCTCCTGATGGAGTGGGAAAAATAAATAACCAGGTGAAAACTCAAGGGACCATTTGCCTCCGCCATCAAATCTCCTGATTCTTAGTGCTGAGCTCAGAGATCTCAAATCCCGGCCCCGGCCGAACTGCAACTAAAAAAAATAGCCAGGCGTTGTGGTGGGCGCCTGTAGTCCCAGCTACTAGGGAGACTGAGGCAAGAGAAGAGCTTAAGCCCAAGAGTTGGAGGTTGCTGTGAGCTATGTGATGCCATGGCACTATACCAAGGGCAACAAAGTGAGACTCTGTCTCTACAAAAAAAAGAAAAGAAAAGAAAAGAAATAAGGCTCTGACACAGGCCACAACATGGACAGACCTTGAGGATACCAGGCACAGTGAGAGAAGCCATACAGTGTGATATTCCATTTATGTGAAATGTGCAGAACAGGCAGATCCTGGGAACAGACAGAGATGGGAAGTAGATTCTTGAGGGCTGGGAGGGGGTGGGAAATGACTGCTAATGGAGATGGGGCTTCTTTGGGGGGTGATGAAATTCTCTAAAATTGATTATGGTAGTGAGTTGCACAACTGCAAAATTATCAAAATGCTTTGATTATACACCTTCAATGGGTAAGTTACATGGCATGTAAAATATATTCTTTTTTTATATCCCAGGGATTTCCCTCCACTCTGCTGCCCTCATGGCCATGCATGCTCCCACCTGTGGTCCATATACCCCTGGCTGCTAGAAGACCAAATTATCATAATCCCACATTGTAGCTATCTTTGTTTTTCTAATTTATTCAGAGTTTGCTGTTGTACAGAGATAGAGAGAAGGGGTGGTGGTGAAGATGTTTGAATGTGTGTATGGAGAATAGACCCTTATAAATGCAGGTTGATGAACAAGTATATGAGTATCAAATGGATGGGCTGAGTGTGAGTGTCTAAAGCTGTATATTGGGGTGATGGAAATGTACATGTGTAAGGTCATAGGT